AGTGTTATTTGATTATATTTAATAGACCTAATACAAGCAGTATTGACAGTCGACATTGAAAAAGAAGAAGAACAAACAACTCCATACAGCAACATACAACATCCGCTCCATGGCAAAAGACGAAAAACTCTACGAACTAGAAGAGGAATTGGGGAACTTGAATTGGGACATAATGAAACTGTCAGAAGTTAAAAGAAAAGGTGAAGGATATGTGGACTTACATTCGGCAACAGACTCTATTATAAAGACAGGAAAGACTACACATACGGTGGAGTAGGTTTCTTAATCAACAAGAAGAGAAAATCTTAAATTTAAATAATTGACAGCGTATCAGACAGGGTTACATACATGGTCTTAAAACTAAATCCAAAAACTAAAATAAAGATCGTGCCAGTTTATGCTCCAACTGAAAAAGCAACCCATGAGGAAATAAATTCTTTTTATGAAGACGTTAAGAAAGCTATAGACAACAACAAAGAATCCAAAATAATAATAATGGGAGACTTTAACGCCAAAATTGGAAGTAAGATTGAAGACTATGAAAGCAAGATTGGAAATTTTGGATTCGGCACAAGAAACACAAGAGGAGAAAAACTCATGGAATTCCTGGAACAAGAAAACATGTATGTTATGAATATATATAAGGTTCTTGAACTCCTAAGTGGAGCATAGAGCTTCAGTGAAAACGCGCCATCGGGTTCTATTTTGCGCTAAGGCCTTCACCTCATTCCAAGACTTTCCTTGTTTTCTTATCTCGTCCATGATGGATCTTCTCCAAGTTTGTACTGGGCGACCTTTTTTTCATTTTCCTTGGGGATTCCACTCTAGGGCAGTCTTTGCAATACTGGAGTTATTTACCTCCTGTAGAATACCTTCTACAAAAAGAAACCTAACAGAAAGTGGACATGGGTCGCACCTAACGGAACTACCAAAAATGAAATAGACTATTTTCTCTCAAACAACAAAAAAATATTTGAAGACGTCACAACAATAAACAACGTAACAACGGGTAGTGACCATCGTATAGTCAGAGCAAAAATAAATATTAAGATGAAAGAAGAGAGAAGAAGGATTTGAAAAAATAACGAGGATAGATGCCTTTAAACTAAGAACTAATGAAGAGCAATTTCGAGAGGTCCTCCGAGAGCGGATAAGTTCGAATCTGATCCTTTACATGATCAAGATCAAATAAAAACCTTCTCGCAGCAGGACTACAGGTCGCAAAGAAAACAAGAACTAAAGTAGACAAAATAAGCAATGAAACTAAACAGCTACTGACGGAAAGAAGACAACTACTAGCGCAAAACAAACACCATACTCAAGAATATAGAGAACTTAATAAAACAATTAGAAAAGAACTAACACTTGACATTCAACAATGGAACGAGCTATATCGTTGCTCAGTCAAGTATATAAACTATTTATGAGAATTAATAATAACCGGTTAACCTATAAAATGGATAATTACCAACCGGATAAACAGGCTGGCTTGCGCAAAAGATATAATACATCAGACCATCTGCTGACAATGAGAATAGAGAAGGCAAATGAATATCAACTACCCGTATTTCTTGCGCCTTCGTCGACTATGAAAAGGGGTTTGATAGTATCGAGATGTGGGCCATAGAACAAGCTATTATTAATTGTAGAATATTAGAAAAAAGTAAACGACCAAGAGGAAGACCACAGATGAGATGGTTGATGACATTAAAAGAATAGCCAGAACAAATTGGAAATATGTTGCTCAGGATAGAGACCGATGAAAGGAGTTGGGAGAGACCTATGTCCAAACATGGACGACAGAAGGCTAAGAAGAAGAATACAAGCAGATACTGAGCAATCAATAGAACTGTTACATAAACTTTTAAAGAAGATATGGAATGACGAAGAATTACAAAAGGAGTGGAAAGAGGGATTGATAATAAAAATACCTAAAAAAGGAGACGATGCAATAATTGATACATATAACCTCTCTAAGGATTATATTTAAAGCATACTAAACAACACCGATAAATAACATACAAGCTGAAATATGTGAACCTACGCTAGAGCTTTGTAGGCAACTATTAACTCTTAATTAGACTTCTAGCATAAATATAAATAAAATAATTCAATAGTTCAATTGGTATTTCATCGGATCCTGGAGCTTTTCTGCCTTTTGTGTGTTTTATAGCATACATAACTTCCTCTTTCATTATTTCTGGTCCCGTGGTTTCTCCGTTAACTTCTAATAATTGTTCTACTTTTTGATCATAAAATAGTTGTTCAATGTATTCTTTCCAATCTACGTAGTTTGTCTTGCGTTTCAGTTATAGTGGTACCATCTGCATCTTTTAATATCCCGATTGGTTTGTTACAATTTCCTGAAATCATTTCTTTAACCTTCTTATGGGTGTTGAAAGTGTCATACCTTGCCTCACATTCCTCGATTTCTTGACATTTAATGGACATCCATGTTTCCTTAGCTTGTATTATTTTCTGTTTTATTTGTTTATTAATTTCTTGATATTTAATTTTATCTTTGTTTTTATGTGTTCTTCTTTCGTCCATCTTTTCGAGAATTTCTTGTGTCATCCATTCTTGTTTGGCAGCTTTTGTAAATGTTAAAGTTTTCCGTCCCACAGTCTCGATTGCGTTCTTTATATTCTTCCACTTTGTGTCAATATCTGTAGTGTTCTTATTTTGTTGTTTTATTTCTTGGATACTCTGATTTATTTTGTTTTGAGTTTCTTGGTATGTATTTGGTTCTTTTAACTTATCAATGCATATTTGTGGTCTAGATCTTTTCATTAATGGTTTTCTCAATCTTACATTCATATTTGCTACTACTGGGTTGTGGTCCGAGTTTACATCTGCTCCAGGGTAAGTCTTCACTACTGTAATGGAGTTCTTGTACCTGTTCCTTATTAAGATGTAATCTATCTGATTTCTTATGATTCTATCTTTGCTGTCTCCAGGAGCTTTCCACGTGTAGAGCCGGCGATTTGGTAATTTAAACATTGTATTCATAACTACTAGTTCTTCTATTTGGCACATCTGAATTAGTCTTTCACCACGCTCATTTCGCTCTCCCAATCCATACACTCCAACACAACTATCCAAAAAATCCAACAATCAATTGCAACCTATTACAATTCCATAAAAATATTCCCAACCCTAATCTTGTCATACAACTCTTCGGAGATCTAATTAACTCTCAATACACAGTATACTATATAGACAAGTCTAAAACTAAAAATGAAGTCGGAGTGGCAATAAATAATCCCACAGAGATTCTCAACCATAGAATCCAGATACTGCAACTATATTAATAAGAGAACTTTATGCAATTTACCAAGCGATATTTCACGCAAATGCAAATAAGATGAACAAAATATTAATCGTGACAGATTTTATTTCATTACTACAAATAAGCAGCAAAATATACACGCAGCATCCATTAGCTTTACTAATAAAGAAACAACTAAATAAATTGCATACTTAAGCTACAAGCATCAAGTTTCTATGGGTCCCATAACATGTTGGAATAGGAGATAACGAAGCAGCGGACAGAAATGCCAAAGAAGCTATAAACGCCAACAGTATCCCCATGTCCCTATCTGTTAATTGGGAACTTAAAAGCTATTTTATAAAGCACCTGCTCGAGAACTGGAGCAATAAATGAAAATCCACACCATCAAAGCTTCAGGGGATGAAAAATAAGGACATACCCATGAAGAACGAAGAAGGAAAACAAAAATCTGATTAGAAGTTAAATAAAGAAACTGACGAAAAGCCAATAGAAAATGAGACACATGATAAAATTAATGAAAACTCATATACTACCGTTGTTCCTACACACTGTGTTAGAATAGGATGGTCACTATCATGTTTTTCATTACAATTAGACCAAGATAAACATTTATTTGGTTACGATTTTCTTGTAAAGTTCGTTACAGATAAGAAATTTTTTGATTTTGGGATCATTTCTACTTTTCTATACTCTCTTCTGCTTTTTCTCTACTCTTTTCCATACTCTGCTATTCTGGTAACCAGTCTCTGAATATCTTCAATGCTTTCGGTTAAGATTACATTGTCGTCCGCATATATAATATTGTTAATGGTAATTCCATTTACTTTTATTCCACCTAATTCACCCTCAATAGCTTTTTTCAGGATATCTTTGGAGTAGGCATTAAAAAGAATTGGCGACAATACGCATCCCTGTCTCACTCTACATCTAATTTCAATTTCTTCTGACAGCTGTTTGTTAGCACGTACTTTTGCTCGATGTTTATAGTATAAATTTGATATTATCCTAAGGTCGTTGTAGTCAATCTTCTTTGATTTCAGGACATTCATTAATTGTTTATGTCTTACTTTATCGAATGCTTTATTATAGTCAATAAAACATGCGTATGTTGCGAATAAAACTACAGTAAAAGAAAAATTACAGCTACCCAAATGAGATTTTTACGAAATATTGAATGGATCAAAATAAGACTTATAGCATACGAAACATGGTGGTAATAGCAGATTTAAAATTGAAACCAATAGAAACAATTGTACAACTAGGATTGCTTGATCGTATATACAGAATGAATGACTACCAAAAAATTATACAAAGCTACAAAGAAAATAGTCAATATAGGTCTAGTAAATTATAAATGTATTGTAAATATCAGAATTGCAATAATGAATAACGTCGTTATACTAGTGGTTCAGCTAAGGGTATCTTAGGTTTAATAATTAAAAAATAAAATAAAATAAAATATTTCTGTTAGGGAAACTGTTATATAGCAAAGCATGACCAGTTGATTACATTTTTCGGAAATTAAAAAAGAATGTATCGTATTTTGCAATTGTATTTTTTTAATTTTTTTGTTTTGTTATTAAATAGTATTAATAATTTATATATTTACTAATATTTAAAAACAATAAATTAGTTTGAGACATTCAAAAAGCGTTTCAGATATAAAAATAAAACTCAAAGAAAACCGGTAAAACAAAAAAGTACGAACCTGAAAGCGCAGCGAACACTTGAGGTAAGAAATCCTTAATTCTTGGCACACTTCCTTTATCACCTGTTACAGTCATCCTACTTTGAAAATATTAGACTTTAGAAAACAATATCATTTGTCACTTTCTAGAGATCCTTATTGAACTAATAACAATTTTACTCGTAGACCATGTGACAATGCGAATTATGAATGCTTCACGACACATTTTTAAAATCGCTACGAACATACCGATTCCGGCTAAAACAATGGGGAAAATGCCAGCTGCATGTGTACTCTATGCACTTATGTATAGAGTTACGATTGCGAATTGCGTATATTCCATAAATAATATCGATAAAGCAAATTTTAAAATTTCCAAGTTTTTTCCCAATTCAAGGTCTATGAAAAGTTTCATCTCTGATCGTAATTAATTTAAGGAGCAGAATGGACGTATCGAATTAAACAAGCCGATTAATTTATTTATATTTTATATATATTTAGTTTAAGTGCCTGGAAGTTTATGAGTTCTAATAGTGATGAATTAGTTATATCAAAAAATGTCAATAATTTATATATTTAAACGTTTTGTTTGTTTTACCCATTTTTTTGTTTTTCTTTCCCTGATAAAAGTACTTTTTTAAGAAATTTCCTCAAATTATTTAATTCATTATTTACATCTAGTTTCATAGATTCTTCTTCCCGATAATAATTTAAATATATTTGCACAATATCTATTATATTTTTTCCTTGAAAAAACTTTAAATCTTTAACCCTCGAGCGGACGCGCCTATAATTATCGCTTGAGTGGACGCGGGGTGCAAATATGCTACCAGCAGCAAATTAAAGTTCTAGAACTGTTTAAATGGCCTATAAGCAAATAAAGTTTTAGGAAATTGTTTTAAATATTTATTAAACGTATATTTTTTATCTTCTTCTTCTTCTTCAAGTGCCGTCTTGGTTCCGAAGTTTGGCTATGATCAAAGCTATGCGTATTTTTGATGCTGCAGATCTAAACAGTTGGTAATTGGTGCAATTGTACCATTCTCTCAAGTTTTTCAACTATGAATGCCTTCTTCTTCCTATAGATCTCTTTCCCATTATCTTTCCCTGTATAATCAATTGCAGCAACTGGTATTTATCTCCCCTCATAACATGTCCCAAATATTGTAGTTTGCGCTTTTTAACAGTAAGTATCAGCTTTTCTCTTTCCGCACTCTCCGCACAACCTCCACATTTGTTACTTTCTCTGTCCAGGGTATTCTTAATATTCTACGATACATCCACAACTCAAATGCTTTTATCTTTTTGGTATCGATCTATTTTCAATGTCCATGTTTTCCATCCCGTAGAGGAGAACTGACATAACGTAACATCTCAAAAGGCGAATTTTAAGTTTTAGACTTAGATCTCTTCCGCAGAACACCTTTTTCAATTTAGTAAATGTGGCTCTAGCTTTTTCTATTCTGGTTCTGATTTCTTCAGAGCAATCATTATTTTCGTTGATAACAGTTCCCAGGTAATTATATCTTCTTACACGTTCGATTCTTTGATCATGCACGGTTTATATCAGGGAAGTTTTGTGGTGATTTAGATATTAGCATTATTTTGGTTCTGCTTATGTTAAGTGATAATCCGTGTTCTTCACTGCATTCTACTATTTTGTTAATTAGTATTTGAAGATCTTCCCAAGTTTCTGCGATTAGTACCGTGTCATCGGCATATCTCAAGTTGTTTATTCGGATGCCATTTATCTTAATACCTATATTTTGATCCGAAAGTGCTGTGTTTATAATGTCTTCGGAGTATAGATTAAATAAGGTCGGTGAGAGTATACAACTCTGTCTTACGCTTTCTTGATCTCGATTTCCTCCGTTGTCTCTTGCTCTATTCGGATATTTGCTTTCTGGTTATAGCAAATCTTAGAGATAATTCTAATGTCCCTTTTATCCAAGTTTTTTCTACTAGCAGTTTCATTAAGTGATCGTGACGAACTTTATCAAACGCTTTGTTGTAATCAATAAAGCACATATATATATCTTGGTTTATATCTAGACATCTTTGGCATATGACGTTAAGTGCAAATAGTGCTTCTCTTGTTCCAAGCCCGTTCCGAAATCCGAATTGAGTATTACTAATATCTGCATCTAGTTTTCTGTTAATTCTTGAGTGGATTACTTTGATGAATACTTTTAATGTATGCCCCATTAAGCTTATAGTGCGGTTAGTCAGTGCACTGTTTTGCATTTGCCTTTTTTGGTAAGGTTACAAAAGTTGAAAGTAGCCATTCCTTTGGTATTTCTCCTCTTTTGTAGATGCAGTTAAAAAGGTCGAGTAGAATATTCACTGATTCGCCTTCCACAAGCTTAAGAAGTTCTGATGTGAGCCCGTCTGGACCCGGTGATTTACCATTTTTCATTATTTTTATAGCGCATAATAGTTCTTCTTTAGTTATTTCTGGTCCTTCGTCGCCTTGCAAATTATCTATATTAGGTTCTTGTCTTTCATCGTTCGAACAATTCTTCTACATAGTTCTTCCAGGTCCTAAGCTTTTCTTGTAGATCTTCTATTTATTTCACCATTTGCGTGGCATAGAAGATTGGGATGTTTTCGTTTTTGTGTACCTGTCAGTTCCTTTATCTTTTTATGTAAGTTAAAAGTGTCATGTTTGAGATGTAGTTCTTCGATTTCCTCGCATTTTCTTGTATAAAAATTTTCCTTTGCAGTTCTTATTTCTTTTCTGATTTGTTTGTTTACTTCATTATATTTTTGGCTGCATTTTTCCTTTAACTGTCTTCGCTCTTCCATGAGACCTAAAATTTTTTCTGTTATCCATTCTCGTTCTTTTTTCTGTTTCTCTTTGGTAAGCATTTTCTGGGCAGGTTTTATTATGGCGTCTTTTAAATCTTGCCACTTGTCTTCTACATGCGTGTTCTCTGTCTTTGTAGAAAGCATTCGTAAGTTATCATTGATATGTTGTTTTAAATCTTCTTTAATTGTTGGATCTTGTAAGCGGCTGGTATCTATGTGATCTATTTTTGTTTTATTTGAAGGTCTTTTGAGTCTAATGTGTACCCGCGCTAACAGGGGGTTATGATCTGAAGAAACATCTGCGCCTGGATAAGCCTTAACTGATCTTATACAGTTTCTGTATCGCAATATACTATAATATATATAATATACTATATTTTTTATAGCAAATACAAATAACAAACACTGTAAGCATAAAAAGTTATGTCCTATTCATCAGTTTTTCCACTAAATTGGTTTTACATCGGTGACAGGTATTCGCAGTTGCACTGTGGCCCTTGACAGACAAAATTATCACATTTTGTCACACAATTGTGACGTAAAATTATTTTTCTGTCTTTCACAGATGGCGGCCCAATGTCCCCGCTTTTTTCTTGGTACATACTGTTTTTGTGCCTCTTTCTTTAGGTTTGTAAGTCGTTAAAAAATAACTGAATATCTAAAGGAAACGACGAAATTTTAGACCTTTTCTCTAAGTGAGAATTTCATAAGATTGAAAAGATAAATTTTATTAATGTAGAAAAATTCTTCTTTGCCCTCGTTGAGTTGTTATTTGTTGTAACCGTTATAAAAAATCTGGGCATTTATTCCAGCAATATTGAAAAGTGCATAAAATAATGCTAACGGCCACCTTCTGGTGTTTCGCGAAACAGAATATCCCTCACATAATTGGTCGACTGTATCTACGCAACCTTGGTCTTATTGTAGTCAAGAATTATCTCGGGCTTTCCTGTTTTTTTGTCAATTTTTCCATCATCATGCATAGTAGAAAGTAATACTACAGATTTTGACTTTTTTGGAACGTAAGACACCATACACACCTCTTTTTGAAAACCATGGCACGTTTCTGATTTATTTTTTCGCAGAGTACCAATGGTTGTAATTTTTTTGTTTTAAAAGTGAACATGCCAAAGGATAGCTGGTGTACCAATTATCGGTAGTCAGATTTCTATTAGTACCTTTTATATGCGCAACTAGTCTGTTTACTATATCAGATGGAGAGTTAGATTTACAGTAGGGCCCCTCAGGCTGTTTGCCACAGTAAACTTCAAAAGTACTAATATAATAAGTTTCGGCATCGCAAAGCGCAAAAATTTTTAAACCGTATTTGGCCGGTTTATTCGGGATATATTGGATAAAGCTGCATCGTCCTCTAAAAGGTTCCAGTTTTTCATCTATAGTTAGATAGTAATTGTGATTATAATATTTCTTACAGTTGTCTTGAAACTTCTCTAAAAACACTCTAATTGCCGCCAGTTTATCCAATTTTTTACGTTGTTCCCGTGTTTCTTTATCGCCAAAGCTTATACATCGCAGCAATAATTGAAACCGCCTATAGCTCATGCAGGCCCTTAAAATTGGCAAACCGGTTCCGTCATTTGTCCAGACTTCCTGGACATTAAGTTTTAATTGACAGGCACCTTAAATGGGACTCACAAATAAAAAATATTATAAGAAAAATAAAAGGACTGTTACCAAAATTCCGCTATTTAAAAGAGTCTTTAGATGTTGAACAGCTTAAAATGCTTTACCTGTCTTTAGTACAATCTCATCTTGCATATGGGATTTTAGGATGGGGTGGCGTAGCTGATTGCCATCTGGTGACCCTTCAAAATACTCAGAAATGGTTTCTTAAACTAATATATGGAAAACGAAAAACATATCCCTCAGACCAACTTTTTCATGAAACTCAGGTTCTTCATGTTCGGCAATTGTACTGCTTAGAGCTACCTAAAAATATTCATAAAGATAAAATACCTCTTAAAGTAAATGTGTCAAATTATAAAACAAGAAGAAAATGGAATGTTGAATGTCTTCAAAAACAATCACGCAACGGTCAATTAAATATTTTGTTCCAAGAATATACAATCAATTGCCCATAAATTTTAAAAATATCAAAAATTTTTATTTGTATAAAAAAATTAGTTAATGCTTGGGTAAAAGAAAAAAGGGAGTTGTGTAACAATTTAATAAATTTAAATTATACTAGATAAAAAAAAACGAAACAAATTAGATTAGATTAGAAACTGTAAAAATGAAATAATAATTTGTAAAAAAAACATTAAACCTGTTAATATTAGACAGCTTAAGTCAACAAGCATGTTTATGCTTTCAAGACTTTTTTTACGTTTATGTTACTGTAAGTAAACTGAAATTGAAATTGTAAATTAATGTAATCCTTTTTTAGTACCAATTAGAAACAATAATCCTAAACAAAGCCATCATTTTAGATTTACTTGTAACTTTAACTGCTCTTTCTCTGCTATAATTAA